AGGTTATAAAGGAATCAATTCATTACTGAACATGCTCCTTATTCCAAAATAATTTACAGTATGTAATGAAACATTAGTAAAATACCAAATGGGTAAAATTGGGCTGGTATGAAAAGAATATGTTATCTAAAAATGTGTAATATAAAGAAAGGAAGCCAATCTGCTCGGTGTTTAAAAACCACCTCAATATGAACTTTTCTCGGTTAGGGTTGATTTAATTACCTATCAACTGTGATTATGCCAAGGTATGCACATTGCTGATAGGATTCATTGGTTGATAATGTAAACATTATTGTGCAGGACATTCAGGTAGCACAAGAAGTACTCATTCATTCATTCATTCATTCATTCATTTGATACAGTAATGCTTGTTGAGGATCTAACTGTGAGCCAGGCTGTTCTAGGCTCTGACGATACAGCCTTACACTAATTAGACAAAATTGTTGTAATGGAGCACTTTAGAGAGGGGTGGGTGATTAAAATTGTTTCTAGAAAAAGAGATAGCAACAAATGAAATTCTGTATTTAAAAATCAGTGGACTCTCTCAGGTCTGGCTTCCAGAAGGCAGAGGAGAGGAAATGCCTGTCTTAAGAGAGTCCTGTTCTTTAACCTGGAGGAGTCTACCTTCAGAGGAAAGTGTCTCTATTGGCTCATCTGTGAACTCAGTACATGAAGCTTGTATTCTCTATAGCTACGTTTGTTTTAATGCAACAATAACAGTGGACTTTGGTTTATTTTCAAAACCAAATATTCATGTACTTCAGATTCTCCTGAAGATGCCGCTCTGTTCATCCTGTGGCTGCTTAGACCCCCAGCACACACGCCTCCTTGCCCCCCTACAGGCCAGAGAGTGCTCCAGGGGCTTCTCCACCTCCAGCTTGTTAGGCAGCCAGCCCAGGGATACCACTACTGTGCAAAGTAGGGATTGACATTGTAATTGTATTTAAAAATAAAATAGTTATTACATTTTTAACACAAAGGGATTCAAAATTTAGATAGTAAATGGCTGAACATCTCTGCCAAGATAACCCTTGTTGGAAATATGGGAAAGTAACATGTTAAAAACAAAAAGCCAAACACTACAGACAGAACAAAATAAAAAAAGAACAGTCCCCACCTAGTCTTTTCAACAACTTTAACCATAGTTAGTTTTTTGTGATCTCTTTCAGAAAAAAAATTATGTTTGTTATACTTATCTGTGTATATGTTTGTGGTTGTGTACACATTTACACAATAGGTATGTGATACTGTGATATATAATAAATACATATTTGGTCTTAGACCTAGTTCCTGGCACAGAGCTCCTAAAACACTGCAAGTTTCCCAAGTGATGAAAGCTATAAAAGGTGCCTTTTGTTATATTAATTAGGTCACTTTGGGCCAGTGATTCGAGGTCTGGAACTTTCACTTGACTTCCAGACTTCTGGGGAGGGGAGAGGGGCTGCAGATAGACTTCAAGCACCAATGGCCAATGATTTAATCAGTTATGTTTATATAATGCAGTCTCCATAAAACCCCAAAAGGTTAGGTTCAGAGAGCTTCTGGCTTGATGAGCTCTTGCAGGTAACTCTAGAAGTAACCTAGAGAGAGCATAGAAGCCCCACACCGTTTTCACATCACTTGCCTATGCATCTCTTCTGCCTGGCTGTTCCTGAGTTACATCCTTTTATAAATAAGAGGTAATCTAGTGAGTCAACTGGTTTCCTGAGTTTTGTGAGCCACTCCAGCAAATTCATCGAACTCAGGGACAAGGTTGTGGGAACCTCCATTTATAGTCATTCAGTCAGAAGTGCAGGTGACAATCTGGACTTGTGATTGACATCTTAAGTGGGGGGAGTCTATGGGACTGAACATTTAACCTGTGGGATCTGACATTATCTTCAGGTAGATAGAGGCAGAATTAAATTGAATTGTAGGACACCTGGCTGGTGTTGAGATTTGCCTTGGTGGAAGGGAAAAAACACTGAGAATTATACACATAGTTTTGAAACTTTCCACTTAAAATATCTTAGCCTTTTTTCATCTCAATCTATGCAGATCATGCTCTTTTTTAATGGCTGCGAGTGTTCCTTGGTTAGTCTAGATTGATTTAACTCACTATTGCGATATAACAGTGGTAAATTTTAAACCATTATGTATGTTGAGCATATTTATTTAACTGTATCATAAAAGCAAGGGTAAGAGAAGTAAAAGAGCCATGTCGTGAAAGAGATGCTTACACTGGGTGGGAGGCCAGAATTAAACCTGTCATTGCTGTTGCTTAGCTGTGGTGCTAGGAAGCAGGTCCAATTGTCTGTGCCTGCCAGTCCTTGGATTAGTAGGAGAGGTAGACTTTGGACAATTCTGGGAATCCTGCTTATTTCAGCAATTCAGTTAACAAACATGCAGGTCCTTAGGATGAGCTTCATCAAATTACTTCCTTAGAAGACTTAAGTGTGTAGTGGGACAGGGAGGCATGCAGATAGATCATTTCAGTAGTGTGACAAGTGGCTTGGCAGAGGATGTAGTGACTGCAGCCGCGGGGACTCTCAGTCTGACTAGAAGTGACGGTGTGTTTTGAAAGAGGTGATTGAAAGCCTCTTGGAAGGACCACGGGGTGAGCCGAATCACTAAGATAAATGTGAGGTACCTAGGTAGAGGAAGGGCGAAGGGCATTTGCTCCCTTCCAAGCAAGGGAACAAAGAGGGAAGAAACAGCCTGATGAGTTTGGGCAATCAGAAGTACTATATAGTGTCAGAATATAAAATTTGAGGCAAGAAATGAGATGGACAGAGACCTGTTCATGGAGGCCTTGTACATCACACAAAGGAGTGGCAATTCCTCCTGAAGTCGAAAGACATGCATGTGTTTTATATATTAATTACTCTCTAGATACTTACCATCAGCCTTTAGAGTTCTGGAAAACACAGTTCCTTCACATGCTGTAACTGCAGAATGGAGTCAACTATTAGCTTAATTTTCTGTTGCTATATAGAGCCCAAGACCCTTGGTTCAGTGTCCAATTTCACATGGTTCTTCAGAGTACCCAGAACCTTAATCAGCCATTTCACAAATGACTGCCAGAGCTCACTGCACGGGAGCCCGCATGCTCTAGGTATCTAGGTGAGGGAGTTCAAACCCACCACCACTGTCAGAAAAACAACTAAGAGGTTGACTGCAGCATCTGTGGGGACCTGAGATACTCTGTCACTGTTTTCACTGCCATTTTCTAAAATGTGGGAACACAGCCAATTCACATAAAATATATTGCTTGTGTTTGTTTAAAAAAGAAAACTGGATGGAATGGGAGTATGGTGATTTGATATGATGAGATGATGAGTAGTAGTTGATACTTATTTTATTTTGACTTCTGAGTCTTTTTACTTCTACTGATCTATGTTTCTTTCAAATGCCAGGCAAAACCATTAGTTTTCTAGTTTAAGGTTGGTGAAAACACTGGAAAAAAATCAAATTTGGAAGAAAGGCACTCAAAGGGGAATACCCTAAGCCTTTACTCAAAAGAGAAATAAATCTACTTTAAGCACAAAATAGGGTGTAGAAATGAACATTGTTTGTGGGGAAGGTGCATTTTTGTAGGAAGGAAGGCAGTGTTCCCTGTTGATCTTGCCACAACTCATTTCTTTATGCACCTTTACTTATTTTCCTCCAAACATAAAACTTTTTCCTGAATCATCCATAATGGAATTCTAGGAAGATGTGTTAAATATGTTGCTATAGTTTACAATTGTCAAAGTAATGTTTTATTTAGTTGAATCTTTTATTTTTTTCCACTGGTCTCTTTACAACACAGAACACCATATGCCATTGTCCCTGTCAGGAAGCAAAGGTTTTCCTGGTCTGTGCCTGTGACTATGTTTATGCCACAGAGAAACTGTAGTCCAGTGCCATCTTTTATTGATAGGGCCAGCAAAAGAGAAATCTAATGAAATTATCAAAGCTTTGAATTAATTATGAACTTGAACAGGAGAGCTAAGCTGTCTGGAGCCAAGGATCTCATTACCCATGCACTCTCATTGCATCTTCCTCTGGAGCAGAAGGCATTTTCAGCTACAGCTCTTACTTGGCTTTGGACTTTAATCAAACTTGCTAAACTGACATCCTTTTACTATGATGTGGCTGCTAATGTCCATGATGATTAATTTAATTCTGCTCTGGATCTACGGGAGATGTCAGTAGTTTTCTCTTACCCCTCCTATTGCCTTTTATTATTATTTTTTCTTTCTTTCTTTCTCCATTTTTCCCCATCAAGTGGATGTTATACAAGTTTTTATCCTTTTTGGGTAATGTGAGAAGCTTTCAGGATTCAGATGTAGCTTCATGGGATATAGTGGTTGATTTAAAGTTAGGAACTATATTACCTCTACTGTGTATTCCCTGGATATTTAGGTAAGCACAACGTCAAATATTTGTTCTTTAAATTTTGAACACCAAATGGAAGTTTACTTGCTTGTTTCTATGGTAGAATTAATATTATGGCAATAACATGGTCTTAGCAGCATTGTTCATATTTCTAATGTGTGTTGCGTGGGAAGGACAGATCTCACTTCGTTAAGGGTAAGCTCAGAGGACTGATGCTGCCCGATAGAGAGTAGTTAATGTTTGCTTTACAATTCTGGTTTTTCTTTTCCCAGTAATATGACTACTTTTTTGATGAATAAATCAACCTCTGATTGTCTTAAGTCTAATATCAAAATCAATAACAAGGTTTTGATTTCCTATTGGTGATGATTCTTTGGCACTGTCATATAGGTCCAAAGCTTCTCATGGCAAGCCCTCTCTGCTTTTGTGGCCCATTATTTATGAATTCCTAAGATGCAGCTCATCTATCTTAGTAAACTACAGGCCACTGATAATTTTTGTAAGCTGTGACTCATTTTGCTTCATAGAGTCAATGTTTTAGGATTTTGAAATAGTGGGGGATGGGAGATGATATTCTTTGCTTTTTCTTTTCCTATTTACTTTCAGTGAGTTTTTTTTCCCCCCATTTATTTTCTCCATAGGCAGCTGCAATATTTAATTCAGCCTTTGGAAGTTTTTTGGTAAGTAAACATGGTTTAACTTGTCTATTATAAGTTTTGTTGTGATGTTTGTATGAAAGAGTTAGTGAAAATTGGGCTTCTTTTACAATTTGGTTAAATATAAAAGCTGTCTAATTTTTTTCATGTGCCATTGTCCATACCCTGAAGAAATTTAGTTAATAAATAAAGGAAATGTTCTTTTACAATATAATTTGGAAACTTGGGTTTAATATTCCATTTAATGGATTCAAGGAATCAATTAAAACATGATGTGTTTCCTTATACAAGTTATGTCAATGTATTGATCATTTAATAAGGTCTTTTAGATTATTATTATTTTGTGTCATGGGACCTAGGGTTTCGAAAAGGAAACATGACCCAGCTGGTCAGAAAGGGAATGCTAATTTACTTGTTGACATGTCATTTATTTTGTACATTTCCCTGTCAAAGAAGCTACTGTCTTAGATGATTCTGAGCAATCTATGTGGGAAACATTTGAAATGAGGAAATAACTGAGGAATAATTTGCAAAAAAAAAAATGTGTATTTTTTGACATGTAAACTCTAAATTGTATGTCAAAAGATTTAAAAACTAGTTCAGCTTTTGTAAGTAGAACCAATATAGCTATAAGGACAATACTGTTTTTAGTATTTTTTAATAATTAATTTTTCGATAGATGATGTAACAATGATGTGGTTTATGTTGTGAAAGAATGACAAAGGAACAGAGTTTTTTGCTAATTGAATATTTTTATATAAACCCTCCCTAAGACTTTGCTAAATTCATGAACATAAATTAGAATATTATATTTTTAGGTAATAACTCATTAACAAATACATAGTATAGTGATTTATAAATAATTGAAAATAAAATCATGGGGGTATAAACTGGTTCAGGAGTCTAGGCAAAATGTCAATTCTGTTTTCAGTACTTTTTATGTCACTTATTACTGTTACATATTTACATGTAGTTGAAGCTTTTAACTGTATTGTTACATAGTGTTAATTCTACATAGTGCTATACAGCTTTTCATGTTCCAGGGTTACAGAGCTTTTAATGGTATAGCTTCTGCAAAATATGTGCTCAGAGTATGCATATCTTACTTTTAAAGCCATAGTAATGTTATTCCTGATGCTGTATTGTTATTGAGCTTTAGAAGAGAAGTAATAGAGCCTATTTAGTGAAAATGATCTCTTGAGCTACTTATTTTAGACTCAGGAATATTTTATTAAGTCACTATTTTATGTATCCAAGTATTATTTTCTAGTATTGCAGTTGACTAAATAGGATCTGTAAAATATGATCTTGCTGGAAGGCAATTTTTTTATATGTCTTGGAATCATACATATCCACTATCAAAATATGGTTTCTATTCTGGGTCTCTTACTCTTTAAAATATCTAAGATAATTGAGAAAATAAGTTTGAGGCAATTGTCTGAGTAACTGAAACAAAATACACTGTCCCTTAGTTGGAGGACAAGCTCACTGTAGTTAGAGCTTTGCAACACTGAGTACATGAACAACGAACACATCATGACATTTGTTCTGCCAGACCCAATTCTTTGGTAAAGCCTAGTGAAGTAAAATTTGTTCTAGGGATTGTTTAGGATTTTAATTATGCTCTTTCACTTCTAAGAGGATGTGCATTCTCACTCCTTAGTCTTTTGCACTTTTTGCTCTCTACGTCTTTTTTCTTAACCTCAATTCGCTTAATCAAAAATATTTATTAGTCTCCTGCCACACGGAGGTCGCATTCTAGTAAACGTGGAGGGTGCAAAGAAATATGACTTGGGTCTCACTATGTTGTGGAAATGACACATAGAAAAAGAAATACTGTGTAAAAAGTTAACAAGTCAAACAAAACATGATACTAAATAATATATGATTGTCAAATGGCATGGGAAATATATACACTCTGAATTCAAAGGTCAGACAGAAACAGGTTTGCTAAGCTGGGCCTCAGTTGAAGTTTGGTAAGACTTTGGGTGCAGAGGAGAGAAGAAAGGAAGTGGATGAGCAATGGCAGATAGGCAGAATATCCTTTTCCATTTCTCGTTCCCCTTGCTTTCCCTCCTTTTTCTTTCCCAAAGTTGAAAATTACCAGAAAGCATTTGAGAATGAAAATTATATTGGAGATAGTTTACTTCAGTGTTAAAAGAGAAATAATTCTGTTTCTTTATTTTTTTTCCCTCTCCATCATAGTTACAAGAAACCTTAGATTATGAAATATGTATGAGTCTAAACTAAAGCAGTTAGCATTAGGTTCAGCTTATTTAACAGAAAAATATTAAGTGGCTTATACAAAATAAAGGTTTATTTTTCTATTATATAAAATCTGGAAGGAAACTGTCCAAGTATGGTGTAGTGGCTTCCTGGTGTCATTGTGGACTGAGATGCCTGTCTTTCTCCTCCACCCACCACAGCGTGCAGCTTCCTTCTTCAAGGTTTCCTCATAGTCCAAGACAGCTGCTGGAGCTCTAGCCAAAAAGATACTTGGATAGCAAGGTTTTTACTTGGGGAAAGCACAAAAGAGCTCCCTCAAAAGCTAAATTTACTTTATTTAAAGTGTCAGATTCCTAGAATTCCAGCACCATCCTTGCAGTGATATCTTATTGCAGAACTCAGTCATGAGTTCATACTTAGCCACTGAAGAGGTTGGGATATGTCTCATTTTGCTAAGAGCTAAATACTGAATTTGTTACTAAGGAAGAATAAAATGATATTAAGAAGCAGCTAGCACTTTCTGCATATGAGCAGTTGTCTTGCCTGAGGGTTTCAGCCACAGGCAAGTTCACTATGGATTCAGTGAGACCAAGAAATGACAGTGGAATGTTCTTGGGGTAAAAGGGTTTTTATACCCAGCTTTATTCTCTCAGCACTAGGTTGAACATTACAATCATGTCTGCATTCAACATTCTGCAGGCCTGTAATCCTCTGCCCAGAGCAGTGCGCAGAGCTCTTTATATAGTGACTCAGTCAATAATAGCTTATTGCCTATGGGTGTGGAAGCAGTAGTCTAGCAGTAGGTCCAGTTACATTGTCAAGTAGATTAGGGTCAGCTGAGGATCCTGGCCATAGGTACTTCCGTTTTCCCCACAGCAGTGCACATCAATTGTTAAGAGTTTGAAAAAGAGATTTATTTCAGTTGAATGATATGAGAAGGGAGAAGCTGGCGCTTGAGTAGGGCTTGGGAAAAGACTTATTTTAGAAGAGGAAAATTCTGAATTACAACCTTCAGGTTTTATTTTGTTATTTTTAGAGTGGTACTTGTTAGTCATTTTGGAATTTTCTTAATAAATGGAAAATATCTACCTATCCTTGAAACTTAGGACTATGGGTAAGTAGTATGCTTTCTGGAGTCAGACTGTCTGGGTTGTATCTTTATTGGATAGCCTAGCCATATAACCTTCCCTATATATAAAATGGGTTAATGATAACACCTAAATGATATAGTTGTGGTGAGGATTAAATGGGATAATCTATATAAGATGCTCACATGATATGGTAGAAATCATTGATTGAGGTTTTGTCCAAACTCTGCTATGAATTTTTTGTGTGTGACCATGGGCATCCATAAAATAAAGAAATTGACTAAGCCCTATGGGTTCTGAAATACATTGATTCAATGATTATTCTCAGGTTATGAGTGACCATTTCTTTTGTATTTACATAATGGAATCTGAGAAGGGGTTTTACTTCAGATTACATTAAAACTTTGAATGAAAGACTTTTATTAGAAGAATTTTTGAACAAAAAACTCTGAGAGTATTGTTGATTTTCAGACATGTGGGTATACCAAATAAATACTGTAGATATTTATAGCTAGCTTTAATAATGTCCCAGGTCTAATTGAAACAGTGTTTTTAAGAACTAATTGTAAGAAAAAACTGTTTAGGTTTTTTAATGTAGCTGAGTTGGTAATAACCAGTGATAGATGAATTCAATTTACATATATTTCAGACCAAGAGAATATTTTAAAATCATGCCACAGAGGATTGCTCTAAGAAGTTAATGTGATTATCTCCTCCTCTCATTTAAATTGTTCAGTTTACAGTAATTGTGGAGCATAATAAGTATTTTAAGATTTCCCTTTTAATGAAATTTTGATAAAATTAGCCAACCACCCTGAATAAGATGTTATCAAAATTATATATATATTTTTCTGTATAGAACCATGTATTTCAAGTTCAATCATTATCACATGTGTTGCTACCTTGTCATAATAACTATTTTAAAAAAAATAGATATTGACAACTTCTTAAAAAAGTTCAATTGAAAAATGCTTTCTTTAAAAACATTCAGTTGTGTTGAAAAAACTTTGATCACATGACTTGTTAGATTGTTAGTTCTTTTTGGTTTGGAGGCTAAATTAAGTGTAGCCATGTCCTTAAAAATCATAGGTTAAAGTTTCAAAGGAAAAGGTAGAACTTTTTCGTTTTGGACTCCTCAGCTTATTTTATTGTGTTTAGTAACTTCTGAGGGAGTTTGGTAACTCCTGAGGGAAACGCCACTAAGTGAAAAAGTTGGTCATGCCAGATTGAGCTTCTAATAACTATGACACTGTAGCAATTCATGGCCACGTAACTGTAAGAGTTTCTGGAACAGCAGCAAGGAGTTGTAAGCAAAGTTAAGTCATCTTTGTGAATGAATAAACAACTAGTCTTAAAAACATCTGTAAGAGCCACTGTTTACTTTCTAAATCTTTTCATTTAAAGTATCAAGAAGTGAGTTTCTTTCTTTTTTTACCGAAGTGTAGTTGATACACAATATTATATTGGTTTCAAGTATTCAACAGTTACCCACCTTATTAAATCCTCACCCCAACTAGTGTGGTTATTATCTGTCAACATAGGAAGATGTGACAGAACCACTGACTATATTCTCCATGCTGCACATCCATCCCTGTGACCACCTTATATAATGATTGAGAAGAAATGGGTTTCTTTTGCATAATTCTTCTCTTTTAAAATACAAGAATTGCTGGAACCAGCAGAAGCTATCCTAAAATGAGTAATTTTGTT